CATATCCAAGGATGCTGTTAGAAACCACAGGGCCCCATACAGCCAACCTGATAGTCCCCCCCCCAAAAAAAAAATACAGTTTACTATGCTTCAGTTATGAATGAACACATTGAGGGATTAGTACCAATCACTCATTGTATTCATTCAGGAAAGAAAGGGGCTGGTAAATGTTACATATTTACCAGACAATTCCCCCTCTCCATCCTGAAGGATCCTATTGTATGATTGGAGCCGCCAATGGAAAGGAGAGGGGGGAAACTGGCAGCACTGCGGAAGCACACAAGGGGACCTGGGCAGCAAGGAAAAACATATTGTTATGATCCGCCAGGTGGTGCCTCAGGCTGCCAACTGACAGACCTACTCAGAGCGTGGGGTCTAAGCCCGGGCTGTGCTTTCACCAGAGCCCCTGATGGTGGGGATGGACTTGAAACAGTCCCGGGCCAGGTCACGACCTCCGAGCAGGCCCACCAGTGGCCGAGGAGACCTTTGGGGACAGGTACCGGGAGAGCCAGATATGAAGAGGATGGGCGGCCCCAGCAGGGTAGTAACGGATCGTGGGCCCGTGAGGGTAAGCGGGGTACAGAATCGGTAGGAGAAGAGTAGTCGGGTCACACGCAGGGTCAGCAGGGAAGTCAATCCGTAGAATGGTCAGGGCAATCCGGGTCAAACGCAGGAGCAGGCAGAGTAGTCAGGACAATCCGGGTCAATCACAGGAGCAGGCAGCGTAGTCAGGGTCAATCAGGGTCACTAGACAGGTACAGGAACTCGGGATCACAGGAAGACCTTGCGGCAATCTGTGACAGTGCAGGGCATCTTTAAATAGTGCGCCCTGCACTGTCATTGGCCGGCTAGAACGCGCCCCCGGCTGTCATTGGGCGCCTGAGGCGCGCCCCCCGGCACCTACTGCGCATGCGCGGCGTCCTGTCAGCCGCGGCTCGCCGGGACCTAGTGCCTGTGTCCCAGCGCGATCTGCCGCCAATGCGCATGCGCGGGGGACAGAGCCGCGATCGCGGAGCACGGAGCCGCGATCCCTGACACATATGGTGCACAAGGAGAATGATGGGTGCAGTGGGGGGGAGGGGGCAATTACTGGAACCAATCCCCTGTTTGTCTCTTTCTGCAATAGCTGAAATCCAGCGGGTGAGAGGAGAAGCCGGGTTTCAGCTGCTGCATAGAGAACCATACGGAGATTGGTTCCAGTAATTTCCCCCTCCACTTTGCTGATCCCCTTTTCTGCCCACATCTGATTCGCCCACTGACCTGGGCCCCATACAGGGGGGACTGGTGGTACCCCCTTACCCACGGCCCTCTACTTATCCCATAGTACCTTGCTGCCTGCAAGTAGTGATCCCTGTACTGACTCTGCCTCCTGAAGCTCCTCCTCTCAGCACCTCTGTAGTTCAGAAGGCAGTAAGTTTAGGGAACAGAAGATCATTCAGATTATTTAGCAGGACCTCATAATAATGGAGATTAATATATGGTTTTATTTTTAGGTATGCTTTAAACCCCAGTTCCAGGAAATTTGAAAATTATCCCTTGCAGTGGGTGTGCACAAGGACTAATTGCTCATTCACTCTAGGGGAGAAAAGTACTTTAACTTACCAAATCCTCTGTTCCCCCAAAGGATGGTGCATTACCTCCTGCGCTGGGGGTGAACTATCTCTCGGTTTCATCACAATGCAAGGCTACAGATCATACAATAATTTTTATGGTATCAGCACCTTAGACTGCTGGTGTACAACGGGAAGGGGAGAAGATGCTACAGAGACAGGTCTAGCATTGCAGAGGAGTGGAGGATCAGTTGAGTAAATCTTCTTTAACAAGTTTCCTAGACCTCAAATAGCAATTAACCCTTGCAGTGTGGGCAGATCCTACTGCAAAGGCTAATTTTTAATTTCCTGGAGTTGGGCTTTAACTTTACATTGTACCATAGAAAAAAAAAGCTCTGCAATTTCCCTTGATAAAGCCAAAAAAGTGATGAAACATGGTTGAAATGTAGGACTATTAGTAAGTTTACAATTTAGTGATGTTGGCAGCTTATTAATAACTAGGGACTATTACGCCCTTCTTGGGCTAAGTGATAGATTTCTGAAACCAGTTTCAAAAATATAAGATGACAATTATCTACAACGGGCACATAGGAATACACAAAAAAGGGTAACAGAATAATATACCCTAACAGCTAAAATCGTTCGTATATAGAAAAACATTTAGCCTAGGTTCACACTTGTGCAGGTTGAGCGGCCACATTTGTGTAGGGACGGCAACCTACTGATTTGAATTGGCTGCTGAGCCTGCGTTTCCTGCAGAAAATAAGTACATGCAGCTTTTTGAAAATGCTCCCACACCGGCAAACACACTTCCAGTTGAGTTGTGTGGGGGTGCCATTAAGAATGCTCTGAGGAGCATTGATTTGGCTTAGGGTGTTTGCGTGTGTGTGAACAGGTGCGATTTCTGCATCCACCCCGCATAGTGTGGACAAATGTGAACCTAGGCTTAAAAATAACAATAAAGATTCAGGTTAAGTTTAGTTGTTAAGACAGATAGGGTGTACCTTCTCTAATAGGCCCCACCCTTGTGTTGCCTGGGATGTCGATCATTCCGGTTTAGAAATATATATATATACACGTACATATTTGTAAACAGGAATGCTGCATGTATGATGAAACTGAACTGATTGGTGCAATGACATTCTGACATTCTAAGGTACACGTATAAAGATAATTCCATTTCTTGAGCTTGTCCCTTCCTCGGCTTGTCTTAGTGTGTGATAATGTTGAGAAAGGGGCCTGCCGTAGGGCTGGAATTTACATCAGATACTGATGTTTTACTTACTGATGCCAACTCAGTAATATCACACAACCAAAGACAGACTACCAGATAAAAGTGCAACTTTACAGAGTTTTACCCCCTGTGTGTTTGATACCAACGCAAAAATTTTTTCTAGCAAGAAAAAAGTGGATAAAGTAGTACTATCTTATAAATGCCCCCCTTCTATTAGCTATTTTATTAAAGAGAATATGGATATTATTCTTTAGGGAAAAAACTAGGGCTTTTTTTTTTTATTATATATATTGCCTAGCCAATAAATCCTGTTTTCTGTTTAATAAAGATGCTGTTTCCCATGTGCTGTTTTGTTTTTTGTGTGACATAATGCTTTAACCTGCAAAGCACAATGTACCTGCAGTACAAAATGATGGTGCGGTGCTGCAACCCATCCAGCAGTCATTAAACAGAGCTCCACGTGTGCCCAGGCCACAGCCACAAAAACTGTAGAAAAATGTCCAAATGAAAAGGTTGGCAACTCCATGCACCTGCAGCAACTTTAACATAATGGAATTTGCTGTTAGCATTAGTTACATAATAATAAGTATAAAAGCTCCATTCACACTATGCTGAGTGTTTTTCAGGTGTTTTTTCAAGTTTATTTTTTTTCAGGCATCTTTGAGCGTTTTTGCAGATTTGCAAATATTATAAATGTTTTTCATTTTGGTGTTTTTGCTGTGGCCAATAGAAATAGAAATAGCTGCTGTCTGAGCTGAAAAACACTTGAAAAACGCTTGAAAAAACACTAATTCCCACTGTTTAGGCATTTTCCATTCAAGTCTATGGGGACAAAACACTCAGATCTGCCTGAAACATGGACCAAGTTTTTTCAGCTACATATGTTTTGCTACAGGTAACAGAATGCTCAAGTGTGAACAGGGGCCATTGGCAGTAATGGGATTTTACTTCTTGAATGTCTTTGAGCATCGAGCTTTGAGCTGAAAAATGCTCAAGTGTGAACAGGGTCTAACTGTATATACTGTAGTGTTGAACTCGGTTTCAGCATCACTTCTTCCCCACTGCTGCTTCAACTATGCCACCTTCCTCTCTCCTCATCTCTTTCTCTAACTTCTGTGGTCTTTGACCAATGGCATGTCATTGAGCACAGACAGGGAGGAGATGTCCCCTTGGTACTTACATTGACAGACAGTCTCCAGCTTGGCAACTTTTTCTTTGACATTTGATCCAACAGAAAAGTACAGATACACATTTTTTGATTTCTTCCTATCTAGGTCTGACTCTACTCTTCTTTAAAAGAAAAGTATAGTGTATTATTAGACAAACTACATTTTGAGTTATTGGAACAGTGTCTACATTAATTATTCAAGTGACATTTTTATGTGCTTGCTTCTGCATATTTTTATATTAATGTAAAGATTTGTAGATAAGCTTCTAAAGACAGGGTAGATTAATGACTACAATGACTTTACCTAATTGCTTAATGTGTATCTAAAACCAAAACCTTTTTTTTTTCTAGTTTTGGATAGAGTAAGGAAGGGTTTTCTGAACCCTGTTAGGTTTTATTGACACTCAGATGATGCCATTGTGACAAAAAGCATCAGAACATGATGTTAGTGTCCTGTATCGCCTACTCACTTAACCTGTTTATTGTCTGCCAACTTCTCCTGCTGTTAGGCACTCATCTTCTGGTAATTTGTTAGCCAGGATTGCCTTCATTATATTTTGGAGCTGATAGGCTATGTTATTTCTGTCTTCGATATTTCTAGATTTACATGCCTTTTACCACTAAGACTGTGGGTGGATATTGAAAAGACTGTATATACATCTTATATCACATCTTTTATGGAGAATATGTCTGTGCATGTACTGATGCAATCTGTATGACAAACGTTGGAGAATTATACTGTCAATGTTGACTGCCATTGTATACAACATTGTATGTGGGCATAGCTCCCAACTGTCCCCAATTTTGAGAGACTGTCCCTGATTTAGAACAATGTCCTTGTTTCCTCCTCATTTGTCCCTCACTTTGGTCTGATCTATATAGTTGTAATTAAAATGTACTATTTATCTTTCACAGTGCTAAACTTTCCATCCAAATTGTAAACTGCTCTATTTGTAAGTTTCAAAAGCTAGTATAAAGGAATAGTAGTAGTAAAAAAAAGCACTTGTGGGTTTAACTAAGTTGTGTTGTATAATTCTCCTTTAAGGGGGCATGGCAGGGTGTGTCCTATGCCTACATACTTTTGCTAATAAGTGTTCAAAAGTAGTGAGCAGGGGCGGCCTGACCATTGGGGAACTCGGGCAATGCCTGAGGGCCCGGGGTCAGTAGGGGGCCCCATGAGATGTCCCTGGTACCTTTCATAGGCTTTTTTGGGTGTGGTTTGAGTGTGGGTGAGGACACAGGGGCCCCATGATCCCCTATTGCCCGGGGCCCCATGAGTTGTCAGTCCACACCTGGTAGTGAGGTATGTGTAGGGAGTGTCAGGTAGGAAACAGGTCTTTTTCATATAATACTTCTCCCCATTACTGTGGATGAGATACAGTTCTCTGTTTGGCAGCTAGGGGACTCCCTTTGCCCTTTAGAACAGTTTGTTACTTTATGGAGTACATGGAGTTGCATGAAGCTCAGTGGAAGACTGATTTTTCCTCTACGCTGGGCTTCAGCGGCCACCATGTGGAGCCAGATTTGGGCAGCCATTTTGGTGTGGCCATGTAATCAATCTCTCGCTCTCTCTGTATATATATATTCCCCCAGCCAGTGTCAGCTACTGTCAGATTGCCATTGTATGGAATTGTTATTACCATTATTTCTAACATAAATACAGAAGCACCCTGCTTTAAAATGCTGTGTTGTGTTGTGGGCCTTAGTAGGCCTCTTTGCCCTTTAGAACAATTTGTTACTTTATGGAGTACATGGAGTTGTATGAAGCTCAGTGGAAGACTGATTTTTCCTCTACCCTGGGCTTCAGCAGCCACCATGTGGAGCCAGATTTGGGCAGCCATTTTGGCGTGGCCATATAATCAATCTCTCGCTCTCTCTGTATATATACATTCTGTATATACAGTATACACCACATTCTATGAAGAGAGAACTGGCAACATCATGTGCAGCCTGCAGCTGTGAGTAGACCCCCTTTGAGGAGCCATGCTGCATACCTTCCGTTGAAATGAGGAAATGTGACAACCACACAAAGGGAACATGTGAGTTTGCTTTGGACTGGGCTTTTTCGCTTGCCAGTCTTCCCTGCTATGGACTAGAAATATCATTATGAACTTTATTCTGGACTTAAGAAAAGATATGTAGAAAAGTAGTTTACTCGTGGGAAAAGAATTCATAACACTCAGCATCCCCTCTTGTGTAACTGAGGAAGTAATCAAATAGCATCATGGGACTGAGTGATGTTGTGTGAAATTGTTTATCCACTTAGTCAGCGCCCCACTTACATTTACTGCTGCAGTGTGACCACTGTACACTGGATCACATATCTGGTATGCGATCAGTGCTTCTGGGCAAGGTGCGCACTCACGAGCACGCCTGCCACCCTGGCTGTGCTGTTATTTGCTACAGCATAAGCAGTTCAGCGGCTCTCGGCCAGTGACTGATCACCAGGACCCACTCATTGACTCTGTAAATCATGGAAGAGAGCTTTGTGTTGGTAAACAACACATAATTCTGTACATTGATAGGCAATCTTGCTGTTTTGTTATTCTTTGCAAAGAAGGGAAAAAAAAACCCCAACAAGATCGCTTAGTAAAAGCAGCACATATTACACACATTACACATTGTTAGGCCCACAGTTAAACCTTTGCCCCTAGATGTTAACCCTCTCCCAGCCCAGTGTCATTAGTACAGTGACAGTGTACTGTATAGTATTAGCACTGATCACTGTATTAGTGTGACTCTTGATGTCAGTTTCGGTTAGTCAGTTAGTGTACCCCCCAGCCAGTGTCAGCTAGTGTCAGATTGCCATTGCTTGGAATTGTTATTACCATTATTTCTAACATAAATACGGAAGCACCCTGCATTAAAATGCTGTGTTGTGTTGTGGGCCTTATTAGGCCATAGCACAGCCTATGTACGTTATCAGGGGAATGTAAGAATGGCAAGAACCCAGTTTGGGAGTAGGGAATCCTGGTGGTAGAGTAATCAGAGAACATCTTTGACACACTCAGATGACAGGACTACTTCAAGGTGGTCCCTGGTTGGGTGCAGGACCACACCCAGGGACCAAGCCAAAGACCTTGTATTAAGCAAGGTATTGCTCATGAGTATGTCATTTTAGTGGCGCCTGTCTTTTTTTAAGGTCAAAATATTTATAAGGGCCTTACACTGTACAAGGAGAACTGGTAGGAGGGCCTGAAGTTCTGTTATGTCCCTCTCAAAGAACATAAGGGTGAGTGCGCTGGGATTAAGCTCAGCAACCCCGCTGGTGTACCCCTGTGAGTCCACCCCCAGTGTAGGCCTCCAGATATGAGTTTTAACCACGATGCCCTCCAGCAGCTAGGGGGTGCTTACAAACAAATGTTTAATAGGGTTTTTTGGATTTTATCCCCCATTTACGGTGACTTCAGCTATACTACATTTGTGCATTTGGATGATTTACTTCATGGCGACACTTTCTATTAATATATGTGTGGATTGTCCTGCACTACTGTCTAGATCAGGGGTCTCCAAACTTTCTAAACAAAGGGCCAGTTTACTGACCCTTAGACTTTAGGGGGGGGGCAGATTGTGGCTACTGGGAGTAGAAAATAACCTAGGGTCAAGGGGAGTGAAAAAAAACATTGCACTTTTGGTCAGTAGGAGGAGGAATAGTGCCCATTCTTTGTTCAGTCAGAGGAATAATGCCTCATTGTTGGTGTCAGTGGGAGGAATTATGTCACACTGTTTGTGTCATTGGAAGGAATGGTGCCTCATCATTGATGTCAATGGAAGGAATTATACCCTAGTATAGGTGTCAGTAGATGAAATGATGCCTCATCATTGGTGTTAACAGTAGGAATTATGTCCACAAGGGCCAGATGAATGGAAGCAAAGGTCTGCAGTTTGGACATGCCTGCTCTAACTGCTAGATTTGCAGGAAAGCCTGTTCTGTTGAAAAGCAGACTTACTCGTTGGATCACCAAATGAAAATAAAGGAAAGAAATCCACAAAAAAAGAAAACTAATGTAGCCATCACATCTAACAATTAGTAAACTGAAATAATAAATATTTGCTTTTGGGATTAATACAGCTTTATTAAGTATCAACATGTGAATGAGGGTATAACGCTGCTGTTTAATTTTATTATGCTGGTTTGATATCAAGGATAATACCTACAAGCAGCTGCTGGGAATTATTAATTTATTCTAAGAGTGCATGTGTTTTATGATTTAAACATACTAAAAACAGCAAACAAGCTGTACTAACGTAAGTCACTAGTCTAAATACTAGCCACAGATCCCAAGGTTCATGAAATGTTTTCTGTTTGCCCATTTGATATGCTATACTTTTTTCCTAGGTATATGTTACTTCTACATGTCTGGTCAGTTCAGTAATTTCCTTTTCATTTCTTGACTATCATTAACCACTTGACACCCTGCAAGATACCTGTATGTTTCGGAAGTTTCAGTGGATATACCTGGATGATCATCTCTATGGTGTAAGAAATCGAAAGTGCTGAGTATTTAGTCATTTCCGGTTTTCCTGTGCATAAAAATACTGGTTTGGAAAAAGCATCTGATAAAAATAATCTTGGTATGATCCAATGCTTTTATGAAATCTGAAAAGAGTATGGCCCACTTAGCAAAAAATGTAATCAAAACAAAAACAAAAGGGAAGCACTGTGATGCACTGAATCGAGTATCACACTCCCCCCTACAGCAGTCAGCAATGCAGAGCAGTGAATGACTTTTTCTGCTCTGTGTTGCAGTGTGAGTTGGCCCTTTGATTTGAGCCCTGGTGTGGGAGCACTGAGTGTGTCTTTTTCACTTGGAGGAGCTTTATCTCACCTATTATTCACAGATATTTTGTTTTCTTTCTTTCCAAGGAGGTGTATGACAACTCTCGCACTTATTTTTTTTATTACAGGTATTCATACAGTGCTGTCAGTTTACACAGCACTTTACATATATATTCTACATTCACATAAGTCCCTAACCCTCAAGGGGTTTAAAATGTAAGGTCCCTAACTCATATTCATACACATACTTGGGCCAAATAACCTACCAGAACGTCTTTGGAATGTGGGAGGAAACCCACGCAGGCACAGGGAGAACATGCAATCTCCAGGCAGGTAGTGCTGTGGTTGAGATGCAAACCCACAATCCTAGTGCTAGGCAGAAGTGCTAACCACTTAGCCACTGTGCTGCCCAATCTCTGTCATTCTATCTGACAGATTTATAGAACTCTGGGAAGTCAGCTATTGCTATAGTTCCGGAAACCTGATGCTAGACCTTCTAATTACAAAGTGACTGAATTCCTGGAATTCAGCTTTAATGTGGAAGAAAAGCCTAACTCTAACTATTCATAAAAATGTCCCCTCCCCCCTCCTCCTACCTATCCTGTGTAAGGGAGCACTCGGTAATGGCTGTAAATTCTGGGAGATGTGCATTGTCGGTCCTCCATCCTCTTCCCTGCAGCAAGCAGTCATTGACACGGGGGTGCCGGAGCCTCAGGATCACGTGACTGGAGTGGATTAAAAATAGGTAAGTACACGCACCTTTTTTTATACAGCATAGGTAGGAGGAGGGGGGACATTTTTTAAGAACTGTTATAGTTAGGCTACTCTTCCGCTTTAGCAAGCATTAATATCACGGAGGTCTGATATGTAGATGACACTAATGTCAGGGCTCTATGATCACTTACATTGAGCCCTGACATTGAGACATGTTTGGGGTGTCAGTGGTTGGAGGTAGGTGGGTGTCAGTTTAGGTTGTCAGTCGTTTAGGCCAGGTGTGTGTGTTGCATTTGATATATATATATATATATATATATATATATATATATATATATATACACAGTATATACAGTATATGTGCACTCATTTCCTCAGATTGTTTGTCTTGGAAACAGACATCAAGTTTCTTGGAGTTTGAGGAGATGCTTCTGAAACAAATGCTGCTGGATACAATGATAACTTAAATACCATTGCTGTAATTCAGTTGACAGTTGGCTATTGTTCTGTAACCATGGTTACCAATGTTTTTCCCCTCTTTTTTTCTTCATCTTAGTTCAGGACATGTGCATCCAGGTGCATTTATATGAATTTTTGAAGCTTTCTGGTGCGTTTTTCTTCTCTTTTTTTCTTCACCAAAAATCAAGACATGTACATTCTGGGGCATTCCAAAGTGTTTTTAAAGCAGTCCATTGCGTTTTCTCTATTTGCATCACCTCAATTGAGGACCTCTGGGTTCCCGTTGAAATTCCATGCTTTCTGGTGCATTTATGTGCATTCCAGTGCAGTACCGTTGCATTTTTGAAGCTGGCATGTTTTTCTTCTCTTTTGTACATTCTGGTGCATGTCCGGTATGTTTATATGCATTCCAGTGTGTTTACATGTATTTTTGTATGTTTTGGTGCACTTTTCATGCATTTTGAAGCTTGCTGGTACATTTTCTTCTCTTCTTTCTCCAATTCAGGACTAGTATATTTTGAAGATGTCCAATGCATTTTCTCTTTCTCCTTCAGCTCAGT